CTGTAGCCTTAATAAGTACATTCATTCTTAATTTCAAGTGCAGGTGAGAGATATTCCATGTGGCACTAAAGGAGGTGTTATGATAAATTTTGAGAAAATAGAGGTAGGACCGTTTGGGATATTGTCAATTGACACTACAACCACTTGAAAATTTTTACATTCTTCGTTACATGGACTGATTTGAATCAAACGTTTCTTCTCAGGTTGTTAACCGTCTCCGTAAGGAATATGTGCATGACACACTGCTCAACTATGGCGTGCATTATGACAATACATGGATATACGACAAGATCCATCATGAGATAAATCAGTTTTGCAGCTCTCATACCCTTCAGCAGGTCTACATTGATGTGTTTGATCAGGTGAGAAAGAATAATGAATTATACCTGCATTTTACAGATGTAAATGAACAAATTTTGGTTCATCTGCTTAGGAAAAGATACCACCCTTCCATCTATGACTACACATGAATTTGGTTTTACCTTCTGATCCTTGTTTTTCTTGGTAAATATGACTAAAAAACAATCAATGGACTCTTCCAGATTGATGAAAAGATGAAAGATGCTCTTCAGGGTGATTGCACCCGTTATGCTCCAGGAATTGAAATTATCAGCGTGCGTGTCACAAAGCCTACCATTCCTGCTAGCATAAGACGGAATTTTGAACAAATGGAAGAGGAACGGACTAAGGTATATGCCTCTACTGAAGAAGTGCAGTTCTACATGACAGAAAAAATAATTGACTCGATATAGTACTACATGGGATGGACAAAGTCTGTTTAATGTTTTAATCAAGTTCTGGAGCTGGTGGTAAATTATGTGGCAGTAATCTTTTGCTCTGGTTGATGTGGTTTACCTTTCATGGTTGCTGTTGGTTTGTAGTTGTTTTCATGATTTGGTGTTGCTGAATTTGCTATTGCAATGCCACCAAGGATTAAACTTCCTTTCCATGGATTTTTATGTCCATAAATCCTTGGCGTTTTGATGCTAAAGTAATAGATAAGATTGTACATCCTGCCTGCATTTGAACAGATAAGTCACATAATCATATATGAGAAGGTTATAACTTATCTTAATGCTCCAATATGGGACAATGCTATGCAGGTTTTAATTGCTGTTGAGAAACAAAAAGTAGTTGAGAAAGAAGGAGAGACTGCAAAGAAGATGGCAATCAGTGAAGCTGAGAAGAATGCAAATGTTAGCAAGATCCAGATGGAACAGAAGTTGATGGAGAAAGACAGTTCTAGGAGGCAGCAAGAGATTGAGAACCAAATGTACATTGCTCGTGAAAAGAGCCTGGCAGATGCCGATTTCTATCGGTGAAACCTTCTTTTTTCTCAGCTACCATGCTTCCTTCTCATTCTGATTAGGTAACATGTAAGACTGTCATGGAAGCTATTGATGATATGATGTTTCTCCACTTTCAGTGTAGTGAAAGAAGCTGAAGCAAACACATTGAAGCTTACTCCTGAGTTTCTTGAACTCAAATTTATTGAGGCTATTGCTGATAATACAAAGATCTTCTTTGGTGACAAGGTCTGATCCCTCCATCTCTTTCTCTCTGGTTGTCTCTCTATCTGTCAGCTTATCTTATCTCCATGTTTGCAGGTACCAAATATGGTCTTGGATCAGAGGTTGCTAGGTAATGTCCTCAAACAAGTTTCGAAACAGACATCTACTGAGGAGAACTTGGAAGAAAAGTAATTAAGGAAGGGGGATCCAGATGCTTAGTTCCAGTTAACAACAGTATTTCGAGATGAAATGGTCTCTCACCTATGGTTAGAAATTGGGAATGAAATTAATGTTACAATTTTCTGTTATTTTCCAGCACATATTTAAGGTTGATAGCTGCTTTAGCAAGTGATATATTAGGATGAAATTTTCTCATATGTACTGATAAGGCTACTGGAAATTGATGGAATGCCAATTACGTTCAATACGATCTTTGCTCCATAGGACTTGACAACATCCCACCTTTAACCCAGTTCAGAATGGCATAGGCAATTTATCTTCACTACAACAAATAATTATTGGATACCAATTAAGCTCTTTTATTATTATTTTAAATTATATGCACGATATTTTTTTTTAAAAAAAATTAGTATTTAGTTTGAATGTCATCTTCTACTTGTTCCTCCAATCACCATCAAACAATATTCTAATTTTACTTCTCGGGATATATGGAGCAGACGTTTGGCATCATCAACTTGTGGTAGAACTTGTGTTAGGTTGTGCTTTGTCTTGAAGTCAAAATTATGTTTAATTTACTGATTTGTATTTTCTCAGATATGTCCATGCTCAAGAACTTGTATTTTGCGAATTTATGTAATAACATAACTTGAGTATTATATAACAACATAAATTTTATGTAACGATTGGTATTGTGTTTTTAGTATAATCTGAATTATATAGGATACTTTATGATGATAAAATACACGATTTAATTTCAATTTTAATTATTCAGTCTTTAAATTTTTAATATGATCTGCAAATTAAGTATTCTATATCATCAGTTTATTTCCATGCCTTTGCTAGGGTCATTCCGCCGCATATTAGTAAAAATACATAGATATACTATATATATATATATATATGTATATATATCTGTGTAAAACTTTCTGGTTAACCCTACTTTTTTCTTTCTTAAAATAAAAAAAAAAAACCCAGAAAAGAATTCGTTCCTGTTAGTGTGGTTTGGAGTTCATCTTTTCATTTGTCTTTGTTCCAAGTTTCATCTGCAAGGTTCCAAATAACAGATTGAAGGTAATTTTTTAATAGTCAAAACAAATTTCTTCACTAATATTCGTGTTTTTTAAGGTAAAAATTACTGTGGGTATCCCACAAATGGTTTCTGTCAGAATGATGTCAGAGAAGTGATTTAGAAGTAAATTTCTTTCTTTAGTTTCCATATTTACTGGAAAGTTCATAATTATGATTTGTGTTTTTTCTTGAAAAATAATTGAATTCTCGTTTCAATTATGCATGTTAAAATAAACAAAGACAAGTAATTAAAAATTAAATTAGAAATTATTATATATATGTGTGTGTGTGTGTGTGTGTGTGTATATTCGGTTATTGCCAAGCCATAACAACGTATACCATAGATGTTATATTTACTGCATAAAAATATACGCAGTATAAATGGCGTAGGAATCTTTGAAGTTTAAATAACTAAGTTTTCGAATTATTTTCTCGAATAGTATATAAAAATCAGATGTTATATGTCCGTTAATAGTTTATCAAAATTTAAATGAACTAGTAGAATTTTTAAAGTCCCATTTTTGTCTTACTCTTGATGAAAATTTGATAGGATTACGCAAGATAACTCTTCCTCAGTTTTCAGTTAAAAATAAAAAAATAAAGTAGTTGACAAATAAATGGAGTCTGGCGTAGACTATGAAT